GTATCGGACTTGTTGGAACAACCTTGCTACAAGTCTGATAATATCAACAAGCTTGTTACAAGCTGTTTAATCAACTTGTACAATATTGTTATATCATGACTGTATCAGACTTGTTGGAACAACCTTGCCACAAGTCTGATAATATGTTTGCGATGTTACTCTGAGTGCATATCCACACCGGGCGAGCTTGAGCGGCCGGGCATATTTTTCAAGCTCGCCCGGTGTGGATATGCACTCAGAGTAACATCGCAAACATATTATTCACCTGAGTACACAACACCAAGACAGAAAAATTCATATTAGTCTGATAATATCAAGAAGCTTGTCACAAGCTGTTAACAAATTGTTGACAACTTGGGACAAGCAGTGCGAACACAACATGTTGACAGCTTGTTGGCAGACTTGCTACAAGATGTGAGATTTTTGCGTGTGTATGAGCAAAGGGTAACTTCACAAAGAAGGGCCCTCACTCGAAACGTTGAAATTCTTCCTATATTTTCAAGTAGCTGTATCACTCTGAATCCGCATCTTCGTTAAAGGTGATGTAAAGTCTGTTCTGCGCAGCCCTACATTCCAATGGTCAGGACACAACCATTAGAATGTTGTTAATATTTCGCACCTTCCGAACTTTCTTGAATCGAATCTCTAGTCTGTATTAATTTACAAGCATAGCAAACCAAAAGAGTGTTAAAAATTCAGTATAAGAAATATCTAATCATATTTTACAACTGTAGCACTGAGTTCAAAATGGAAACAAAGCGTTTGTTTACATTATGGACTTTACATCACCTTTAATAATGTGAGTGCATTGTACACAGTCAATCATATCAATCGGTCCACATACAGACGGTAGTTTTGTTGGTCATTTGTTACCCAGCAGGAACAACATTACTTGTTGCATTTGGTAGAGCCACACTGGAAGAATTTGTTTTTCTCGCACAGGCAATGAGGTGAAATTACAATGAAATAATTACATGTGACGGGCATAAAACAACAGGTTTACATGCGTTCATCACAGTATGTCGTCATCACCCCTGTAAATTTTGTCTGAAAAAGATTACATAACACATCTTTTGTCTCAAACAGAAATCAAATTTGCCGCTTAGGGGGTACATCGAATCAACAGAGATTGGCAATAAGTCATGTGAAAATATCTACAGGAAATCCTGCGGAAATTTCCGATAGGAAAGAATTCTTATGGGAAATACTATTCCTATAGAGAAGTCCGAACTTCCCATAGGAATTTTTCATAAGGGATATAGAGATATACTAGACACATACAGGGCTTAAACAATAAATCGGAAATGCCGTACGAGGTCGTATGCTCTGTATACTAAGTTGACATACGTTTAGTCGATGCTGACATATGATTTTGTATACTAGTTTTTGTATAAAATTTGAATGACATAAACAAAGATGGTTTTCTAGAATTCAAGCAGTGAACTCAATGTTTCTAGATCAATGTTTCATGTCTGATTGTTACAATATATGAATATTCCAGGGTCAGAATGCATGGCCAATTCTTATAAATCTGTTTGGCTAACATGCACCGACTAGGATTCAAATCGGTAGAATTTGGTAGGCCGCAAGAGAGATAGCCTGCTCAGCAGCCCGCCACCAGAAAATTTGACACGGAACTACAAGAGTGACAAGTCGATAATTTCTACAAAACCGCAGCCCCACTGCTAAAATCTGCACTTTAATAATACTTGTAGCAAGTCTACGATAATTCGATAATCTGTTCGCAAATTGCCACATATATACATGCACACAAATTATCATACAAATGACCTGTCTTTGTCGATGTGTTCGTTGAGACATACCCCAAAATAAAATGCTTTATTTTTAGTAAATGTTTCATATAGTGTTTTTTTTTAATTTTGTTAATGCATGGTCTAATCAAATTTTGAAATATCTACATATAAATTGAACAAAACACTTGTTGTTTTGAACAATGGCGACCAATTAAGTTTAACCTTAGTGAATAATAGTTAACCAAATTAATTCACCTCAAACAGATCAAGTACAAATAGCTCCAACCGGGACATATGCCTTGCCAATCAAACCCTAATTTTGAAAATACAGCTGCTCCATAATGTCCGTTGAATAAAAATAAAAATACACTCAATACCGTATTCATACAGTGGTATTTTCATACTTTATAGCTAGCAAGAACTGTTAGTCGGGAAAACCGCCCTAAAAAAGCTCAGAAAAGCACAAATTTATTGCATTTACAAAAGGATACAGTTTTAATTTTTCCGCCATCTTGAAAATCCGTCTCGACTATTAACATAATATGTTAATATATAACTCATGGTAACTAATCAATTCTCAACAAAAAGCTCTCAAAAATGCCTAATTTTATCCAAAAATGCGAGTTATTTGACCTATTTCCTTGTTTTTCAAAAACCACTACATTAAATAAAGCATATTTGAAAGCTTGAATGATTAGATACGCCTTCGTTTATGGATTAAAAAGATAGCTTTATTTGTTTATTTAATATTTTATTCATGTTTAGACAAACAAGATTATAATTTATGAACTTCGAAGTCTCGTATATTTTTAGAACACAAAGAGCCGAATTTCGAGCAGCAATTTTTCAGCAAATTCTGCCTTCTATGCATGTTATGTAGCTGCACGAGGTAACAATATGAGCCCATTGGTCAATAATGATGACAAATTCGGTGCAACATGCGGCAAAACCTGAAAAAATCAGGACTTATATGCGATTATGCGAACAAAATATATGATAATTTATGAAAATACAGTATAATACATGCAAATAATTTTGTGCTGTGAAATTACATCACCAACTCGAAATCTGATTGGCTGCCGGTTGCTAGGCGACACAGTCGGTGGTTAGTTGTTGACGTGTGGTTGCCGTGGCAGCTGTGTTTACTGCGCTCTGATTGGCTGCTTCGCCCTAACAACAAAGAAGAAACACAAGTATACGCAGTATACGCAGCGTTTTCAATGGCAAACCGAGGATTCGCAACAACGAATATGAACTATTTCGTCTAAAACAAAGACAGTTCTTTGTGTCGTCCTGCTAGAATGATAAGTACAAGCACAAGAAAGCCGCTACAAGTCTCGAAAAGTCGCTCGATACAAACGGGAGAGACGATTTATCAACTGGATCCGCGAAATAGCACGCATACGACGAACGACGAGCTATCGAGCCAACATGTTTTGCCACCGCTGAAGACCGCAACAAAAACGCTGAAACAACAATCGCACGAGCCAAATAACACGCTCCCGCATTTGGGAGGCGTTCAGGTACAACAGCTATTCGAAGAGGAGACAAACCATCGTGGGAAAGTCGAAGGAAACGCGAACAATTTGCCTTCTGTTCGCGCTACTACGAACAGTCATACTTCAACACCAGCGGACGATATCAATAATAATAATCATCAAGACAGGAAATCCAGTGCCGAATCGTCGACCGGCAAATCTAGGACTTTACCAATGACTCCAGAGAAGGCCATGAAGGTCTTTATGACTAAACTAACACCCTTTGAACATCATGAGATATTTAACTATCCTCATATATATTTTACCGGACCCAACGCGAAGAAGCGGCAAGGTGTCATAGGAGGGGCGAGTAATAATGGATACGACGACGAACAGTGCTCCTATATTCACGTTCCACACGATCATATAGCTTATCGTTACGAGGTTTTAAAAATTATCGGCAAGGGGAGCTTTGGACAAGTTGTGAAAGTCTACGATCATAAAACGCAGAGTTATGTTGCGCTCAAAATGGTCCGCAATGAGAAACGATTTCACCGACAAGCCGCTGAAGAGATTCGAATTTTGGAACATTTGAAAAAGCAAGACAAGGAAAATAACTATAACATCATACATATGCTGGAGAGCTTTCAATTTCGAAATCATATCTGTATTACATTCGAACTGCTGAGCATGAACTTGTACGAGCTTGTCAAGAAGAACAAATTCCAGGGTTTCAGTTTACAACTCGTCCGAAAGTTCGCTCATTCGATTCTGCAGTGCTTGGATGCGTTGCACAAGAATCGAATTATCCATTGCGATATGAAACCGGAAAATATACTGCTCAAACAACAAGGAAGGAGTGGGATAAAGGTTATAGACTTTGGCTCCAGTTGCTACGAACATCAGAGAATATACACGTATATTCAGAGTCGATTCTACCGAGCGCCAGAGGTAATTTTGGGTGCGAAGTATGGGATGCAAATTGACATGTGGAGTTTTGGTTGTATCTTGGCGGAATTGTTGACGGGCTATCCTATTTTTCCCGGGGAAGACGAAGGCGACCAACTCGCGTGTGTTATCGAGTTATTAGGCATGCCTCCTGCTCAATTTATCGAGCCACACAGCTCGAAACGTGCGAAGAATTTTTTCAGTTCGAAAGGACATCCTCGCTATTGTACTGTTACAACTTTGCCCGATGGGGAAACGGTTTTAACCGGCGGTCGCTCGAGACACGGCAAAACCAGAGGTCCTCCTAGCTCTAAGAGTTGGGTTACGGCATTAAAAGGATGCGACGATCCTTTGTTTATCGATTTTTTGAAGAAATGTTTGGAATGGGATCCGTCACAACGTATGACTCCTTCTCAGGCACTTCGACATTCGTGGCTGAGGAGACGTCTGCCTAGAGCCCCTGACAACTCAACTACACATAGAGCTAACCCGCCAGTATCAGCCGACAAGAAGCACCAGAGACTGCCCTCTAGTTCTACCAAACTTCCTCCAACCCTACCTACTTCTGCGAAGGCGAAAGCGAAGAAACCCAACGAGAATTTGTCGGACACGAATCGAACTGTCTTGCCTAAAATAATCGGCAGGTGATGGAATTATCATACGTAAACACCGACAAAACTACAGGGTTTTTAAGACTTTAAAGCCTGTCCGCTTCTGTATAGAAACAGCGATATTAAGCATGTTTTCGATAGAAATTATTTTCACTTTGGAGTATGAACATAATTGGCGTGTGAAATTTTAAAGAACGACTTTTTATTGAGAACTGTGACTTTCAATTCTAGAGATTTTATCATGGCTTTGCCAAACGGCAAGGTCGCAGACTGTGTATATATATAAGAATAATTTTTATGGAAAATATTTTTATTTTTTTAACATACTGTATATAGATTGCAAAGCTAATATATATCATTTTCAACTGTATGTGTATTCAGACGTGAATTTTTTTTATTTGAATGAAATTCAAAACATGCACAATGTTGCAATTTCTGTATATTGTTTTGACGGCGAGATTTCTATGGTAAAATAATTTGTCAATTTCACTTGCAAATTCACGCCAAATTGCAGCTGAAACCCGACAATGCATTAATCCGAGGTTCACCGCGATAAAACAGTCTGTGATCCAAGCATTTCTTGTCAGTATTTGCCAGAAATCATAGATAATATAAGAGCCTTTATTATCCATGGAAAGCATTTCAAAGCATACTTGACAATTTTGTGTTCTTGGGCCAATATATAAAATCGTCGTTGGTCTAGCCGGGCATGTATAAATAATTTCGCTGAGCATATTCTAGAGTATGCAGCTCTTCTGCTCTTTATCCAGTGGAGTGATGTTTCCTGTGCGATCTCCGGTATTTCCAACGTAAATTCATAAAAAATCCGAGGGAAAATCTTGTTTATGGAGTGGTTTCGAATCGCTAATATTTATGATTATCATGTAATATACAAATTCGTTCCCTGTTGTGACCACATAATATTAACATTGAACTGAGTCTCAATAAATATCACCCGAAAAATATTTGTATCCCTTGAACGAAAGCTTGTTCGTATTAATATTATCACCAGTTTTGAGATTGCGAAAAACAGCCCAAGGGAAAAACCTATTTAAGCCATATACGGCTCAGTAAAGGCGACCAATATGTACAAAATATAGGTTTAATAGAGTAGTTTTTGCCGCATAAATTTATTTATTCACAAAAACAATCCCCTTGAGTTGCTCTCGAAAGCCACGTAGCCTCAGGGTCGTTTTTCGCAAAAGCAAATCTGACACCGGAGCATTTATTTTTATGATGCGAAGCTACGGGCTATTCCAGAATGTTTTCCAGACCTTTCTGAGCTGAATGTTATTTTGTTTGTGAAACATTGAACAACAAATAGTTTCTGAATTCAGTATCAATCCTTGCAATCAATTAATGGCAATCAATCAGTCAATCTCTTGATCAATCGATAATTCAATGAATTAATTAATCAATACATTTATACACAACCAACTTTAAGTGTGCAAATTTTCACAATTGTCCGACCGAGTATTAATTAACCTATAAGCTTGTAAATGTTTTTACAGAAATTCTGGCTGGTCAACTGAAAGTTTCAATTTTTAAGATCTTCACCCTCAAATTAGTCGCCGAAAAATCTCACATCTCGTAGCACTCGTTCGTCTACAAGCCGTCAACAAGTTAGGAACAAACTGTTAACAACTTATAACAAGCTTGTTGATACTATCAGACTTGTTGCAAGGCCGGTTGTTCCAACGAGTCTGATACAGTCATGATATAACAATATTGTTACAACCTTGTGTTGTCAACCTTGTAATATTCTTGTTATATCATGACTGTATCAGACTTGTTAGAACAACCTTGTAACAAGTTTGATAATGCCATCAAGCGTGTTACAAGTTAATGTTAACAGCTTGTTCCAAACTTTGTTGATATTATCAGACTTGTTGCAAGGTTGTTCCAACAAGTCCGATACAGTCATGATATGACAATATTGTTACAACCTTGTGTTGTCAACCTTGTAACATTCTTGTTATATCATGACTGTATCAGACTTGTTAGAACAACCTTGTAACAAGTCTGATAATGCCATCAAGCTTGTTAGAAGTTGTTAAACAGCTTGTTCCAAACTTGTTACAACAGCTGGGAACAAGCAGTGCGAACACAACTTGTCGACAGCTTGTGAACAGATTTGTAACAACTTGTGCGTTTTTACGTGTATAGATTATTGTGAGATAAAAATTGATGACGTCAAACTCGGAGCAATGGCTAGCCGCAAGCTTGAATTTCAGACGCGGCCACTCGTTGAGAGCTTAGCCTTAGCAATGGCATGGCGCCCACAATATTGTGTATATTAACGTTGTTTTATTGATATATATGATATGATATTAACTATTTTCATTATAACTGATTTACATTTTCACTTTGCTTACATCTGTTAATTGTATTTTTCAGGCTTTGCCTTTGAAAATTTGTGCATTATATTTCATTTATAAATGTTAACGATACTTTATATAAATCTATATAGATAACTCTTTCATTAATATAGCTGATTATATCTGCAATTTCTACATTTTGTTTCGCTTATACATATTCTGTTCTAGGACTAAAAATCAGTGAAGAGTGACATTCAAATTAAACTGTTTTAAAAACACAATAATTTCAACAAAATCTACGTCAGTTTTTTATGTCAAACGATATCAGAAAATCTCGAAAACGAAGGCAACAAGGATTTAACGACTCTGAAGCTTCTTTATAATTTCAAGGACTTCCATCGCCTTGAATTTCGCGGTTTTCAAATTCAAGGACTCAGTGTCGAGTTCTTTCGAGATGGTGGCCTGGAATGCATTGACGAAGGCAGTGACGCACCATTGTATAAATTATTCACTGGTGGTTTCACGCAGTGAGCTATATAATTTATCTCAAGCAAGAACTTCAGGCTTATGAGAAAAGTGAGGCCAATACACCCTTTCGATAATAGACCTTTCCCCTTTTGAGTGAAATTTTGATCTAGACAAGTCTGGACAAAAATTTCATCACACTGCTTGAAAGAGCATCACAAAATTAGTAATATTCCGAAGTTTCGTTGCGAAATGTTGTAAAATGTGGATAATAAAGCCTTGCGAAGTTTGCCGTTTTTCAGTCATTTTGTATTACGCAAGGGAAATTGATAATCGGAAATTAATTGATAAATAATAATAATTATTTTTTACGTACTGACATTAATAAAACAATTAATAAATATATTTTTAAAAATAATAATAATGTATAACGCATGCTTGAAATGTTACCACAGGAGGCCCAGGCTCGATTTGCCCGCGCCCGCCTGTGCCTTCCTTATAACGAGGGAAGGACGGAGACATTGAGACCAAAATAGCCCAGACTTGGCATATGTCACACGAAACTATCCTCGATTTTTCGCTTTTAATGCATTTCCTTCACAATTAATCGATATCCCCTGCAAGAATGATACCGTATAACTCTCAAAACAACGATGCTTTAATCAAAGAGCTTAAATTCGCTCTGAAATCCGTGAGGGAATAACAAAATTCGGCCAAAATATATCCGCGTGCCGGGTTTGCTGTGCAAAAAGCGGAAGTCGTTGAACAACTCAAAATACACTCAACCCTGATTGGACAACGAATATCAACAAACATTTCAAATTTTTTTAACAGTACTGTAATAATTTCAATCATACTTAATTTCAATCATACAATCAAAACTATTCACAAACGTTATAAAGTGTAAATATTACTGCATGTAAATATAACTGTAGTACGTACGTTAATATGTATAATAAATTGTATTTCACATTGTGTTTGTTAAAAAAATTGAAATGTTTGTTGATATTCGTTGTCCAATCAGGGTCGAGTGTATTTTGAGTTGTTCAACGACTTCCGCTTTTTGCACAGCAAACCCGGCACGCGGATATATTTTGGCCGAATTTCGTTATTCCCACACGGATTTCAGAGCGAATTTAAGCTCTTTGATTAAAGCATCGTTGTTTTGAGAGTTATACGGTATCATTCTTGCAGGGGATATCGATTAATCGTGAAAGAAATGCATTAAAAGCGAAAAATCGAGGATAGTTTCGTGTGACATATGCCAAGTCTGGGCTATTTTGGTCTCAATGTCTCCTTCCTTCCCTCGTTATAAGGAAGGCACAGGCGGGCGCGGGCAAATCGAGCCTGGGCCTCCTGTGGCGTCATGTCAGGGAAATAAACGTAATCTGCCGTCTCCATGTTACACTCAAGAGTGAGGCCTTAAGCCCTAAAGGAGTAAAGCCCTGGGCGCTTTCCATTTAATTGCCTGCAGACTTGTCTCTCTCTATCAATGGAAAGATCTGACCCAGGTTTCTCGAGCATCTGGTGAAAATGGTTTTATGTTTGACCATTCTGGCCGTGTTAATTTAATGGAATTTAAAGCACTGCTGGGTACGACGTGCAATGAGCTCAGAAGCCTGCTGGCAAATATACGTTTAGGCTCGACGTATATAGTACACTTTATGGCATGGTCCCGAAACATAATTTGGACATTATATGGTAGAACCAACCTAAAAATAGTAAACAACTCAATTTCATGAAGAAAAAAATCTCTTAATATAATATTTTGTCTTTCTATTGCAAGGAACTTTAAGGAGATACCTGAAGCTCGTAATTTCATCTGCTGTAGGGTGAAGTTATCAAAACTAATATTTCAATTTTGCAGCCCAACACTATATATTAATGTCCCGATGTTATACTCTTGTTCTTACAGCTGAAGCAGAAAATATTATGATAAAAGAAGGAAGCTTACTGAATCTACCTCGTGGTTTACCAACAATTGAACATATTGACGAGCTCCGTAAAAAGAAATAATTGTTGAAATTGAATATACATTTTCTGTTCTAAAATAAATACGGTTGCATGGGAATCATTATACTTGCATGATAATAATAATCAGTATAATTGCATGATTGTGCACATGCACAAGTTATACGTGGTTTTAAAAAATATACATACACTTTTCTGTCAATCACAATGATAATGCAATCTATATCCTCGCCGGGCCGGAGACCTTGCAATACCCCAGACCGAGTGGTAATCTCACTGATCTTGCCTCTTGGAAATAAAACTGGAATGGAGTTCTGCTCTGTTCAAAATAAAGCCTCAAGACAACCGATAACATTTCTAACGTAGTTTGGTACAAACTAATTTGTTAAGTTTTATATGTATGCCATTTTTGCAAAGTTTGGAGAAATAGTGACATGTTCCACGTACATAATTTGGTCCGTTAGTAATGGGGGGTTGCTATTGTCTATATATAGCAATATAGAAATTGCTCATTTTCCGTATTAATGAGCAATGGGATTGCGCCATCCCTGTTTTATAGTATTACTTTTTTTCAAAATCCTTATTTCAATCATATACTACTGTCATTTAATCCAATGAGCGCTTAAATTTCCCTGGGAGAGGGCTTTCTGAGGAAGTGCAAAACTTGGGGGGGGGGGGGGGGGGGGGGGGGGGGGCTGAAAGCGAGGGCCGAAGGCCCGAGGAAATTTTTAAATTTAGAGTCTCTGAAATGCCATTTCCTGGACTTTGGAGAAGATTTGACAGATTTCTGATTGTCAGAAAACAGCGTTTTTAGTATGTAGAAATTTAGAATTCAGTAGTACTAAATGCATGGGCGAAGGTGTATTTAATTAACGATATATTGGATAATATACCCTGGAGAGGGTCTGGGGTTTTCTCTCCCAGAAAATTTTTGTATTTTTCTACCCCTATGACTGCAATTGG